CCACCTCGACCACCGGCTTCCATTTGTTTTGAAAATTTTACCATATAAAACACCATATAAAACACATTAAATGATCAAAATTTTTGGACATGCATATACAGGTTTACGCCAAAGATATGCACAAATTAGCCAAAATGCAGTTAGTACCAAAACACTGAACACATCGATTTCAAAACAAATCAACAGGACAACAAAGTAATTCGAGTCAACGGCCTTAACGCAACTCCCCTGCGGAGCCCACCTAATCCACCAGCACTGCCCTGGTGGCCCTAGGGTGCAAACCTAAAGAATAGATCCAAATAGCTAACTTCAACATTAAGTAAGAACCAAGTCGATTCACACTGGGACTGGCCATCTCCAAGTGCAATCAACTCAATCCCTACTTTGCCTTATGGGAAAATTACAAAAGTCCAATATCAAAATCCTAGCATTCAATATTTACCTTAATAGCTAAGTACCCTACAGTCCGGCATCCTAAACGTTGAAATCTCGGATGCACTACAAAGATCTGAAACCTAAGCTCTGATACCAACTGTGACGACCCCACCTTCCCCTAAGGCAAATCAGAGGGTTTAGCGGGTCGCTTGCCCAACTCGCGCCAGGACTTGAAGGCAAAAGCAAATAAAAGCTATTCACACGGCAAAAGAGTACTATTCACATTATATACATCGGCAAAAGAGTTCTATTTACATCCACAAAAGTAACTACCTATACCATTACATCCTTATGATTATAACCAAAATCAAATAGTAGACCCTAAGAAGGGTCCTTACACGGATCACTATAATAGGGAAAAACATATTAACTATTCGGTAATTACAAATAAAACCCAACTATACTAGTGATGGTGCCAAAATTTCCCCGCGTCGGCCCTGCTAAGGAAAACAAAAGAAAAGGGGGTAAGCTAGAAGCTTAGTGACTAACCAGGGGTAAAAATATAATTTTTACATGTCAACATTTGCACAGTGAGAGCAAAGCAAAAGCAGAAAAGTAACACCACATGGTAAGGATACGGGCGGCTCCCAAGCTAACTCATTTGTCGAGCTTGATCACTGGTTAACTCTTGAGATCCTGAGCCACACAGCTCACTTCTATTAAAGGATCCCAAATAGAGAGACCATGAGCCTCAACTCAAGTCATGAGCAATAAATGCTCTAAAATATTTTTCAAGCAATAAATGCTCTAAAATCGTAGTTCAAGCAATAAATGCTCTAATTCAAGCAATAAATGCTCCCAAATTGCGTCACAAGCAATAAATACTCCGCAAATGTTTCACAAGCAATAAATGCTCCATAACAAATCACAAAATCATATTTCACAGGTATCAAGAGCAACTAATGGGGTTTAGATCGAGTGCGATAAATTACGCTCTCGCCTAAGTGCCCATTTTTCATAGTAAACTCATATTAGTATTGAGTTACACAGAAACCCTGATTACTCACCTAAAGAGCAAGTATAACGAGAGAAAGTACGGAAATGAATTTAAGTCGCCAGCTAGTGGGCCCCACCGGCTCCGTCCAGCCCGTCACCGCCTGTAGCAGAAGGTTGAGCCATATTATCACACAAATAACTACTAAAGTGCGTAAATTAAGCAAAACGGCAAAATTGGCACATGCATGTGCGGAATCGGCAAACGGAAATGGAAACCGCCGGCAAACGGAAATGGGCATAGTTACTGTCCAAAACTGTTTTGACCATAAGTTGGGCTAGGAATGTCGGATTAAAGTGTATGAGATACCGTTTCGAAACTAAAAGAAAAGGCTACAACTTTCATGAAGACATCTAAATCCGGATATGAATAGAAATAGGTTGAAAGTATGGAAAACAGTGCCAGAAGTTTGCACTTTAGGGTGACAGACAGGGTATGTTTGCCAGACCATAACTCACAGCTTACAAACCCAAATCAAGAAATTCCAAAGGCATTGGAAAGCTAAGACATAAGGATAAAACTTTTATGTTTTGGCCAAAACCTGGACCAACTCAGAACAGAACGAAAAATGAGTGCCAAATTACCTGTCAGAATTGTCCAGTGCTCAAGGCAGTTCTGACTCACGATCTTGTTTTGGCTATAAAGGGAGTTACGAAGCTCAAATTTGGATGTACTTTATACCGTTTTGAATTTGAAACAAAGCTCTACATTTCTTATGAAGACACCAACACCTAGTTCCATCGTTATCCATGCAAACTGAGCATGGTCAGAAGCTAATTTACAAAATGTGACCAAACCAGAATTTGAAAGCTGAGTGAGGGTTTTGGCTATAATTCAGCCTACACACCTCCGTTTGACCTGAAATTCTGCAGGATTAACAACGACTTAAGAAGCTACAACTTTCGTGTTTTGAGTAGCTTCTAAATCAGCACGCAGCATAAATAAAAATAGAGCCTAATTCGGATTTGTGGACTGCCCTGTTTCCAGTTTTGCCGGTTTTGTATATTGCAACCGTGTGATCCGTTTCTCTCATTCTTATACAAGTCTTCTAACCAATTTCATACCAAATAATATTACATATATCAGATTCTAAAAGACCTAACAATGGTCCGAGATTTTCTCCGCAAATTATCATAAAATTACCAAATACTAACCACCATTTAGATTCCAATTCCACTAGTTCTTTACTAACTTCAAAACCCTAATCAATCAAACCTTAACTTTCCAAGTTCCAACTAAACCAAACTAATTTCCCTTTTCATTAGGGTTTCATAACCAAATCTGATTTTTGCTAAAAACCAACATACAAGCGCATTTAAGATATCAAGGATTCCATTTACAAGCTCAAAACCAACCAAATCAACTTAATAGCTCATGAGACCAAAAGCCCTAATTCTACATAGCTCAACTGAAATTTAAGCAACCAGAAATCAACAACATAAACCATTAAACCGCACCATAAACACCATACAAACCATACAAGTTCATATCCTCAACAAGAAACATCACTTTCATGGCTTCACAACTCAAGCACCCAACTTTACCTTTCAAAGAGAGATGATTTACCTTTCAAATAAGCTTTGTGGATGATCAAACCACCCCAATCAAGTTCCAAAGTTGTTGTTCTAGGCTCCAAGCTCAAGATTAATGGTGAAACTTGAAAAATTGTGGAGGAAATATCCCCCCTCTCTTGCTCTCTCACTCTCTCGGTCTTCCCTCTCTCTCTCTCTCTCTTTAGTTTTTGATTTGGTTTATGTCTTGTGTTCTCTTGGATGTTCTATAATTAATACTTAGTCAAGACCATTAGTAAATATTTTCCACCAACCAATCACATAAAAGATGATTATTCACTTCCTAGTCCTTGCAACTTCCTTTTTGTTTTCTCACACTCTTGCCCACAAATGTTTGGAACTCTTGCACTTAACTCCATAGGATACAACTTATTCTAATCCAAAATACTTTGTCACACTTAATCATTTCACTAATCACCTTATTATCTTAATCACCCATCCTTAATTATTCCTTATTCCACATAAAAGCAACTAAACCACAATCTTTTAACATTAGCTAAATTAAGGGTTTTAAACCCAATTTAAGGTTGTTTAATTAGCAAAACGCTAGGGAATTTACTAGTGTAAGACTTTGTAGCTTTCTAATCCTACTTAACCTTTATAAAAGAAATCGAATCCAATATCTACTCATACGAAAACATACATTAGCATGCATAATATTTACTACCACATAAACTTATGATTAATACGTAAACTAGGGTTTTATGTAAAAATATCAAAGGTGTAAATCCATTAGGGTTTTAATAAAATTCCAAATTAAGGTTTTTTTATTCTAAAAGCAAAATCACATGTAAAGAATTACCATCATCCTTAAATTCAAATTTTATAGCAAAATTTAGCACTAATAATCCTTATTCAAAATTAAGGACGAATCAGGATCTCACAGTATATGTTTCAAATTTGGGAATTGTTTTTCGTTTAGTCTTGAGGTTATATCTTATTTCACTTGATGAGAGCGATCGAGTCCTGGCTAGAGCTGGGTAGGCGGTCCGCCAAACCCTTTGGTTCGCCTTAGGGAAGGTGGGGTTGTCACAATTATTCTTTTTTGGAAATGATTATTATTTTTACTTTAAAAAAAGAAAGAAAAAAGAAAAATGTAGAAAAAAGAAAAGAAAAAATGAATAAAAGTTGAATCTCTACTCCAATGGTTCTTATGCTTAATAATTGGGAGTTTTCATCTACAAATGTCGACTTTTAAGTAAAACGGTACTTGAATTAAGAATAAGCACAGTAATTTGAGAATGTGAAGTGTTGAGTAATTGGCGATCTTCATCTAATAATATCAATCTTCGCGTCAAAAGACACTTTCACAATTTGAGTAAATATTTAGATATGTTACATGAATAAATCCCTCTTTGAATTTGAGAAAGAGATGATTATGGAATTAGGAAGCTGTTATTTAACCATACCAGTCACTTGCTTGTGGAATTGAGTGAAGATGAGAAATTGAATTAAACTAGTCAAAATTATGGTATAATTGATTCTTCTTTACTTGATATTTTGAGTTCTTGACATTAACTAAATGATTGCATAATGGTGATTTGCCTTGTTTTGAGAAATTGAGTTTCAATCTTGCACATGTTTTATTTCAAAGTTTTGGATAATTGTTTCTTATTGTTTGAGGACAAGCAATAATTCAAATACAGGAAAATTTGATAAGTGTGTATTTTGATTATTTAATGTGTTTTATTATTTATTTTTGGTGTGTTTTATTAATTTTTTATAGTTAATTAACTAGATTTCTAGTGAATTATGCATTTATGGTTTAAATATGAAAAATTGCATTTCTATGAATTAAAGTGGAGAAAATTTCATGTTTTTGTAAATTTAACGATTCAATCATCATATGGAGTGAATTGAGAATATATTTGAATGATTATTGATGATTTGAAGTGATTTAAAGAGAATATGAAGTGCAAAATGTTCAAAAAATAAAATGCAATCAAGTATACACACTACAACAAAAATGGCGTTTTCTGACATGCCTGTAAGGACACTTGTTGATTTGTGTCATTATAGCACTCCTATCATGACACTTATTAGCAATTCAATAATATATAGTCTAATTTTTTTTATTTTATTAGATATAAAAATAATAATGTGCCTTTAGACTATCTAACATGACACTTGAGAAAAATGTGAGATATACCAAAAAAAAAAGAAAGACACTAAACGGCATCGTTTGATTTTGGTGGAAGATTCATTCGCTCTAAAACACTCAAAATTTTCATTCTGCCGGCCAAAACACTTACTCAAAACACTTGCTCAAAATTTTCATTTTCCAGCTCCACCATTTCCAGCCCCCCTCTCTCTGTTGTCAGATTCCGATGTAGTTGGTGGGAAAAATGGGTAGCAGCCAAGCAGCAGTTTCCATAAAGCTTCAACCGTGGCTCCCTCAGGCAGCTAACAGCAGCATCAGCAACAAAATCTCTCTCGAAGGAAACCCACTTCCAGGTCATCATCATCTTCTTCTTCAAATTCGGCTCGACAAATTTCTCCCCCGACTCGAATAGTTTATCGAGAATTGTCTTCCAAGTCCAATCTCAATTTGCCCTTTTGGCAAACTTCCTGGTTCATTGGCTTACTTTTACTAATGGCAATCTCGTTTTTCGGTCTCGCTATTTTCCTTTTTTTTACCCTTGACTCTTATTTCACCTCTTCCCCCGTCTCTACCGCTTCCGAAGGTGTCCAGGTAAGCCAAAAGCCCACTTACTACTTCAAATTTGTGGTTTTTGCGTTCCTGTAGTTGCACAGATATGCAGTGCATCTTTGTGTGTGTATGTGTTTTTCCCCCTATTTGTTGAAATTGTACGCGGAACGTTGTTTTATAGTTATTTTTGGCTCAAAATTTTGACCAAGTTTGTGCTATTATAGGCATGTGATGGTTATAAATTATAGCACTTCAGAGGTTTATAAGCTAAAAGAGGACAGGGAAAGAGGAAATGGAGTTTTTTGTGTAGAATTAGTAATAGCCTTCGACATGTTTGATGAAATGCCTCAATAATCTTTGTTGAAAATCTAGTTGGGATTCAGTTAAAAATTGCTATTTGGATTTTTTAAAGAGCTGATTTAGGAATTAAATTTGATTTTTTTTCCTGTTTTATAGTTTGAGGTTTCTGTTGTGTGGCGAAAATAAAAAATGGTGTATGATGCTTTGAGTTCTAATAGTTGTATAATGGGGCTTTGTGCTAAGTCATTCTTATTTTGTTTGGCATTGTGATTTTGGTAGATTACTTATGGGTCAGTGATCATGTAGTTGACGATTACTTATGGCTGGTGCACACCTTTTTGTACAGTACATTACCGGTTTAAGCCTAGCTACCAAAAGCAGCATTCTGTGGACAATATCTTGTTCTGTGGTGCAAGAACAAGCTGTGGTAGATGGCTTTTTCTTCCTTTAACTGATGCTAATCTTTTTGTAGTCTTTTAACTGATACTGTTCTTTACAATATATCCCATTTAGCTAATGAGTTTAAGATGAAAATATAAATAAAGTTCAAGGTATTATTCTCATTAGCTGGACAAAAAATGTAACATCTAGTCCTCTTATTCAGCTTATTAGGTTGCAAGTGTTACGTTCATGAGAATTACAGACTTGTGACACTGCGTTGCCACTATTCACCAGTCTATATGATTTTGAGAAAATCAAGGATTAAACAATAAACAAACCCCATCAACAAATCAACCAATTAGAATGGTGATTTTGATATCTAGCTACTGGGAACTTTTGAAAAGTACTGTGAAAAATCAGCTTGTGCCTATCTGACCAAGTGTTCATCTTCCCACTGGTCTCTGTATGTCTCAGGCTGAGACCTCTTTCTCATGGAAGTTTCAACATACATCTGCTTTCTCCATTCTTCAGTCCGCAGACAACCACACTGAGCAGCCAACCAATCGTCATATTCGAACTGGCGATATAAAACAACGCATCAGTTGAGTTGGGCAGAAATTAAAAACTCTAGCCTAGGTCCATGGAAAAGCAAGTGCAAAGAGGGTCACACTGGTGAAAGATGACAATGAAGAGCTGCAGCGAAATCAAATCAGCAGGAGGTGAGCATTTTCTACCTGATAACCAGCCATGTTATGAGTATACCGCTTTGGAGTGCCAGATGCTTCCATTGATGAGTAGAAAGCTTGAATATCAGCCATCATCTCCTTGGGAGAAGGAAGTGAAAGCCGACCACACAGAGTACCAGCTATCCACTTGCTCTGAAATTCAAACAAGGGGAAAGGTACAACCTAGCAGTCAAAGGGAAAAAAAATTGCTTTTATCAATTAAATGCATTATCAACCAGAACAGTTCATAAACTGAGAACATGGAATATTTGCAAAAGACCTTCCACGGCAACCCAACGAATGAAAGCCATGGTGCTAAAGCTGGAGGAAAAATATGCTTGTAAAGTGGCCCCACACGGTTATCATCCACAGCTACAATGCCATTAATTTCAAGGAACGGAAAGTGATATTTGTACCTTAAAGAACATGAATAATGATTTATTGCAAATCGTCAACTAGAATCGCCAGTTAATGGACCTTTTTTGAAGTCATTATGATCTCATCGCATGAAATAATTTTACCTTTCTTTGTTATTTGATTGTTGCCTATGAGCATTTTGTGTGCTTCCAGTTAATTGATCTTTAGGAGAGTCATTCTAGATTTATTGTCCCATAACAATCTTTAGCTAATATATTATTGGTTTTCTTTTGGGTTGGCAGACCACACTTTTGGATTACATCAGGAAAAGCAAGGTATGAATCGATTATTTTTATTGATGTTCACGTTGAGGTACATTATTTGTAATGCCATTATCATTTGATGACTTTAGAAGAAGTACCTTATTCTGTCTTATGTTATGATACTTGAATAGTTGGGAACTAAATCTTAGACAACCTACTGTAGGTGGCAGCATCTGAAGCAGGTGGAATTACTCAAGGCATGGGGGCATACAAGGTACAAGTACCTTTTGATGGCAAGCCACAGACTTGTGTTTTCCTTGACACCCCTAGACCAGTGGTTCTAACTTTTAACTGCTTATTCATGCAATTTTTTTTTTTTTAAATTTTTATGTCAAATGCTCTTCTTGGAGATTTTGCAGACATATCTTAAAAGGCCTTTGTCAAGATGAATTATCTAACATAACTGTAAAAATGGTTGGATAGGCATTTGGAGCAATGAGAGCTCGTGGAGCCAGAGTAACAGACATTGCTGTTATTGTAGTTGCTACTGATGATGGAATTCGACCTCAAACAGAAGAGGCCATTGCTCATGCCAAAGCAGCTGGAGTGCGAATTGTTATTGCTATAAACAATGTGCGCTTGCATTTATTCTGAGATTTTCCACTGTGTGTTGGCTTGTATATCATTTAGTCTCATTTGCATTCTGCTTTTGATGTATGAAACATGATGACAAATCTCCTCTTGCTTATGGGAGTTGGCATTTTCAGTTCTCATAATCACGGTACTACTCAAGTTTGATGTTTCTAGATTTTTGCATCATAGCATATTATCTTATATGCATTCTATTCTTTGGGATAATTTTAAAAGTCCTTTGGGTTTCTGATTGACGGAATGTATAGCAGGGAGCACTACCTGCAGGTTGCTTCTATCTCAAAAAAAAAAATCTCCTGACAATTAAAAGTGTCAGCATAGAATTCGATATTTTAATATTGTATTATACTTATCCTGACACTTTTAATTATCAAGAAAAGCGATTTTTGTTGGCAGATGGAAAGTTATAACAGCATAGTTTTCTTGACATGTTGAATAGTACGAGTCTATCCCCATATTGGAAGGGACAACACTCGCCCTAGGTGTGAGGATAGATAAAGTGTCAGGTTAAATTATCTATACTGACACTTTTAAATGTCGTTAAAAGCCATTTTTGTTGTAGTGACAGGAAGAAATATTTGACAGTTTTGACACCTTTTGGTATTTTGATTATATCTTGAGATATAAGTATCAGATTGAGATGATTCTTGAGTCATTTTGCAGATAATACATATCTCTACATTTGTTATGAAATATCAAAAGCCAGTCCATGAGTTTTCCTAGTCAAAAAGTCAAAATATAGTTGGTCATTTTTGTTGTCAAAAGTTGAAATAGGGGATTCACCAATGAAGAGTATTTTAGTTATTTCTCAATCTACATAATCCTAAATTAGATGATTCTTATGCATTGAAAAGTTAACTCAAAGGCCTAAATTTTTATGTTTTGTACAAGAGCTAGTTCAGCCTGCATTGTCGAGAAAATATCAACTGAATTTGGTGCAAAAACAGAGTAAAGTTCAAGACTCATAAAAAAAGTGCAAATATGCAGAGGAGGCAATATGTAACCTTAACCCGTGTTTTGAACTTGTGTATTCATATTTTAACCGAAGTACAGCTGGAACTAGTTGTACTTTAACTTGCAGCTCTTTTCTACTACTTATGGATCAATTTTCTGAACGAATTTCAGCTGGAAAGTGCATGAAATATCTTGAAAATTTGGAGAAACAACTTTTGGGAATCGCAAGACACAATTTGCACAACTTGAAAAATGATTGTATGGAGCTTTAATTCTCTATAAATAGGGCCTTTATTGAGCTTGCTTGATAACTTTGGAGTCTAGAGAAACTACACCAAAATGTAGTCTTTTACTAGAATTTCTTTAGTTCATTAGTTAGGGTAGATTAGTACACTTTATTTCATCCAAGTCTTGTATGGAACTAAGTATAGATGAAGTTGAGGATGAAGATGGAGAGTTTAAAATTCATATGACAAGAGTGACATTTCTCCTATCACTTTATTTCTTGTATTAATTCTAATATTTGGTTATAATACAAGTTTGGATCTTGTTTTAATGTCTTTCATGTTTTGCTAGTTTTTATACTTAGGGTGTGGATGAACTTCTATGATTATTATGTGATCTTTTCATGGTTATTTGAGTTATATTTTTGAACAAGTTATGTAACACTTTTGCTTTTCTAATCATGATTAGCTGACCATTAATTATGATAAATTTAAGGTGCTAAGTTTACAATGAAAATTGGGATTTGACACTAGTTCAAAAAGTGCTAAATTTAGGGAGTTCACTCACGAAAATTGAGGAGCATCTTTGTGATTTTAATGACTTGTTCCATGTAATTTCATAGAATAAATGAATTTGTAGTTAATTTAATAATCACAAGAGTAGGTATGGTTTAGTTATAAGTATAGTTGATTCATTACGAGAGTAGGTTTTACATATAGTAAGAAATAACGCCAAAACTAGTCAAGATAATAATATTCAATTAACTGATAATTTCATTTGTAAGAGTAGTGAAGAATTTCACAACTCTAGGAGTTTTCTATTGCTATTTTAATTACTTTTATTTCATGTTTGTAGCGTAGATTTAATCTCTTGCATTTGTGGTAATCTAAATAATGAAGGAGCTCGAAAATCCATCAGTAATTGACAATGAGATCGACACCTAATATTCTTATACTCGATAAACGATCTGTATATTTGCAAAAACCAAGATATTTAGATTTTATTAAAATTTGGTGCATGGCAGAATCTCGTCAACACATATTATAAAAAAATATTTATAGTTTATATGTGAATTTATAATAATTCATAAAATTAAACATATATTGTATATAATTACATGTTGGCACAAAAATACACACACAGACACACACACAATAGAAGCAATTTTAACATGTATAAGAATATGTTGGAAAGAGAAGGAGAATAAATACAAACCAATATTCAATAATTTTATTAATTCAAAATTCAACAACAACAATATTAAGTCATAGTTTTTTGCTTACAACAACTCACACCTTAGAGGCTTTTCCTCTTTCTCACAATTTGACTCAATTCAACTCTCTAAATAACAATGTACTAGACTGGTAGTATTTATATATTGTAGAACTTTCTAAACAAATACAATTGCAAACAAAAACTTATTTGGAATTAACTTGAGATCTTCTAATCTAACATGGAAACTAAACAAACATGACACCAAAACAAGAAACTAAAAGAATTAGGAAATAAACAAATAGAATAGATTAGTTTAGTTCCATCATTGCTTCCCTTAAACTTCTAGGTTCTCCATTGTGGTCATTTCCAATGCCATCTCAAGCTTGAATCTCCATGAATAATTTAGTCACTGTATGAACGATGTGAGCGCTAACTTGCAATTAATCTTCAATTTTATATTCACACGTGGTAGTGAATGAAACTTGTACTTTTCAAAACAATTTTTTAGTTTGATCACTTCTGTCAAAAATTTCAAATATATTCACCCATGCTTTAATTCAAATATATATCTAATTATGAGCTTGGGATCAGCCTAATTTGAGGCCGGAGCTCATATCAGAGTATAAGTCGAGTCCAAACCTTTTAATCAGGGTCTGAATTTGCAAGTTCGAAAGTTCTATTTACTTTGTCAGAAGAGTTTGGAGTTGTCAAAGTCCGGCTCATAGAGCCTGAGTGACAGCCATATTTTCAATGCTCGCTCCATTTAACATCAAAAGGAAATGATTGTTTTTTCCTTGCCGAAGGTAGAAGGGTCCCAAAATATGTAAATCCAGGCAGGCAGAACACACTGTGGGAACTGTTTTGTTAACGACTCCTTCGAGGAACGGCTTCGGCAGGACAAAAAGGACGAAATTGTTTTGTCATGTGTGCTAACTGTTGAACCTGGCTACTCAAAGCAAAATTATTTTGGACCACGTTCAACCCAACATAATCTTGATTTGGCTAGTTATAGTGACTAATGGAGTGGTTTTCTATGATTAGTGAATTTGTATACTATAAGTGGTGTTAGCATGTATAAAAGATTTATCCATAAAAAGAAATATTTTATTCGCGTACATTAACTTTTGTGGTAAAACAACATTATGCTATTATTTACTAGAAAAATAGGATTGGCTGTCACTTTACACACAACTCTTAACCAATACTTTTCCATGTTTATCATATTATTTCATCCCTTATCTCTATATTTTAGGCATTTTCATCCGTTATTTGTAGATGCTTTCATATATCTCTTAACATCTGTAGTGATATGTGACTTTAAGTTACAGTGACTCTGACATGCTATCATGGTACTATTTACCAAATCTTATGACAAATGCAACAAAATCTGACCAATTCTCAATTCTACATGCGTGAACTCCATATATCGCCTACTTGACATTGTAGTGTGACTGCCACCAACTACTAGGGCAAAATTATATGAATTTGGAATGACAATTAAAGTATCAGACTAGCTAGTAATTATATGGATAACTTTTATTTCTTCTTTTTTTTCACAAATGATATGGATAATTATGTATCTTACTTCAAAAGATTATTAACACTTGTACAATCCAAACTATACGCACTATACTATTGCTGTTCTTGCTATGAGAACTAAATGAAACCATATCGATTAGGCCCAAGAACAGCAATCCTATTAACAAATATTAAAGTATCATACTACTAATGATATGGATAACTAAGTATCTCTCTTTAAAAGATTTACTAAGACTCGGATCAATGTAATCTATTGATTAATATTATTTGGCTATATAACCTATATATATATATATACACACACATAGGAGGAAAGTGATCGATCATATTGATTAGGTCCAAGAAGAGCAATGCTCGACCAACAAGACAGCAAAGATGCTAATGTGGGGACTGGTTGATTTAGGAGGTGATGGGAGGACTGAGGTAAGGTTGGCCAAGGGCACATGCTAGCTTTCTGATGATTGGAGGAAGCCAAGGTTGGTTAATTCATGGGCAGATGGAGAAGATCTCTCCATCAATTCTGAGTTGAGATAAGTTCTGCAGAATCTGCTTGGAAGATAATTGCATGAGTTTTTTTTTTCTCCAGGCTCATGCTTACGCGAGAATGAGATTTTGTGCGCGTGCTTTGTAAGCATATAGGAAAGAATGGGCAGATTTTGTAGATTTTCTAGACATCCAATGATGCCAATTATTATAATTCGTCCACTTGCAACAACCTAAGAGTTGGATTTTGCTTTTACAC